ATGGGGTGGCCTCTTCTGCAGCCTGCAGGGCAGCGAGCCCCCCACCCCTGAGAAGTGCCTACTAAGTTAAGCGCAAGGCCTTGGGGACCAGGGGGCTGGAAGGCCCCTCCATACCCTCCGATGCCTGGCTCTTTTGGGGGTCCTGTCTCTGTTCAGGTGCATTCTGCAATTTTCCATACCTGCTCAGCCTGCCCCCTACTCCTGAAATCGTGAGCCTGGCGGTTACAGTGTCCACACGAAATCGAGAGTCACTATTGCCTTCTCCTCTGCAGAGACTGGGTACCTGTTCGGCCTGGACTTGGTTAAAATGTGAAATGAGTTAAAATTTAAAAATCAGCCAGCCTTAGCTACGTGTCGTCTTTCTCCTCTGGCCAAAGTCCTTTACTTCAGAATTTCCAAACCACAGCAGGTTTCATAGGTCAAAATAGAGATGTGTATTTCCAAACATAAAACAACCACGTTTAAGAACAAAAACAAAAACGATGAAGCCACCTTTGAGGACACAGCTTCCAGCGTGCATGGCAGCATGGGGTGAAAACCTCTGTGTGAGTTCAAAGAAGGCGCCGGAAGGACCCAGATGGACCCTTGGGTTCTCCCCGCCGACCGGGGAGGCGGGGGGGTCCAGCGGCTGAGGACTCGATGTGAACCCAGATAACACACATGTTCCATGACAGACATTCAACTCCGGCACTGCCTGCCTGCCTAGAAAGCTTAATTTATTGCAAATTCATGTTTTACGGTCACAAATAATATGACAGGAGTGGGCGGGACCCTCTGCGCTTGCAGCAGTAACAGAACACTTAATAATAAAGTCAGTTTGCCTGTAACAGCAGAGCACACGCAGGCAGCAAGCACACGCAGCCACCAAGATGGCACCTGGCCCGCCTGGCATCAGCCGACCAGCCCGGCCACCTACAGCTGCTCAGAACCAGGGCAACGTCGCCAGGTCTCAGGGGCAATGTGGGGGCGTTCGCCGGGTCCTTGGCTTAGGGAGGAGTGAGTGCAAAATTTCAGCGATGCCCCCAGCGGGGTGCTGGAGAAGCGGGGTGCCCCCTCGGGCGTGGAGCTGGTGAGACTAACGCAGCCTGTGACTCGCACACGCTGACACCCGAGGGGCTGGTCTTCTGGGCCTGGAGTGGAGGCAAAGCGTCTTGTGCCTCCAAAGGCGCTTGACATCTTTGATGCTGGCGACGTGACGTTTCCTTGCTGTGTAGGTGCTCGGCAAAGGCTTCACGTCATTGATTCCAGAAGCCCTCAGCTACAGGTGAGTGAGCGGGCAGCTTCGTGTCACTGAGCGACGTTCTCCTTCTCCAGAAAGAGGCAACTCAGTTCTAAAAATTCTCTCCAGAGGAACAACATCTGAGGGGCTCATGGGCCTTTTCTTTTGTGTGGAGAACAAGGGGACACAGCGGGAGGCACAGAGCTGGAATCTGGGGAGACGGCCTTCCCAGGCGTCCAGAGGCCACGGGCTGGGCCCTGGATAGAGGCATGAGTGCAGCAGTCCCACACACGTGAGCACACCACACACGTGTGCGCACACCACACACACGCGCACCACACACACAAACACACACCACACAGTGCGCTCACACCACACATGCACACACCACACATGTGCGCGCACCACAACATGCACACACGCCACACACTCACACACACCACACATACACACATGTCACACACCACACACACGTGCACACACCACACACCACACAGACGCACACACCACACACATGCACACACCCACATAGGCACACGCCACACATACGCACACGCCACACACACGCTCACACATCACACATGTGCACGCACCACAGACGTGCTCACACAGCACACATGTGCACACATCACACAGCGCACATACACCACACACGTGCACACACCACACACACGCACACACACCACACACAGGTGCACACACCACACGCGCGCACATACCACACACACGCACACACTACACAAGTGCACACCACACATGAACGCACACCACACACGTGTGTGCACACCACACACAAACACACACCACACATGTGTGAGCGCACCACAACATGCACATACCACACACGTACACATACCACACATACACACATGCACACATACCACACACGTGTACATAGCACACACCACACAGACGTACATACCACACACGTGCACACACCACACACGTGCACACACCACACATATGCACACACCACACATGCTCACACATCACACATGTGCACACAGCACACAGCACGCATACACCACACATGTGTGCACACCACACACATGCACACACCACATATATGTGCACACCAAACAGGTGCACATACACCACACACGCACACACACTCCACAGTGCACACGCACCACACACGTGCGCACACACCACACACCTTCCTCTGTCCACTTCTTCCTCCCCAGTAAATCTTCGAGAATATGCACAGTGGCCACTGCATCTTTGTCCTCCAGTGGAAGGAGCCAGAACTGCTCACCTGGGGGACCTCACCTGCAGACCCTGCCCCCTACCTGCCCTGCACGGAGAGGCAGCCAGTGTGTCCTTCCCAGGGAAAGGAGGCCCCGCCCCGTCCCCTGGCACTCTGTCCCGGCTCTGCATCTGTGGTGCCAACTCCTGGCTTATGGACGCCTGTGGGAGCCGAACACTCCCTGGAGGGGTCGCGCAGCCCACGCTCTGGAAGGTCACTTGCAGCTCGCTAACCAGATGTCAAAGCATCCAGCGCCCGGGGCCCATGGAGAACAGACGTTGCTGACGCAGCAGGAACATTCCACGGTGTGGCTAGAGCAACTGGCCCTCGGTCCACTTCCAGACTGACCACTCGCCGACATGCTGGTTGCTCTCAGGCAGGCTTCCACCTTCTTTGTGCTCTCTGTCAGCGTCTGAGCGCAGGACCACGGGGCCACGGCCCAGGTTTGGAGAGAGTCAGGGTCACCTTGCAGGCCTCTGCTAGGTTTAGGTCTGTCTCTTTCACCAGAACGGGGGAGGGGGTGTTGGGCCTGGGTCCCGGCTGCCAGCTCAGAAGGGCGCCCAGAGCCTCTGGGGAAACTGAGGTCGCTCTCTGTGATTACCAGCTGTCCGGCTTAGGCGCTGGGTACCAACCTCTGGGCAGCTGGGTGTTACCATGACAACGAAAAGGCAGGTCCTGGAGCTGCTGAATTGGCCAACTGTTCTGGAAGGCTCTGGCTACTCTGCTGTCAGATTGGTTTTTTGAACATGAGCTTTTGTGTTTTAATTTCCTTTTCAAAACAAATTCCTCCTCCTTACTTGGACAGACAGAAGGAATTTCTCTTGTAATTGAAACTGAGAGAGGCATGAGGGCCATTAAGTGCTTGGAACCCAGCCCTCTGCGGGAGGTGCCCGTGTGGCTGATGATGGGGGCCACCTGTGGGCGGCCCCCCACGTGCCCCCTCGAGGCCTTCCTACCTCTGGCAGCCTCAAAACCTGACCACTTAGCATTTCCTTGAGCAGCTTCCCCCGAAAGTTGTATCTGGTACTTCATCCCCTTACCTGTTTTGTGGTTTCAGCTGCTCTACCCAGGTACTACACTGAGAGTGAGTTTCGATGGGAAATATCCTTACTTTAAAACAAACAAAAAAGAGGCCAGAGAGTCTTCTGAGGGGGCTGGTATCAGCTGCAAGGATGTCAAACAGGTGTTTTCTCATATGACAAATGTGAGCGATTGGCCTGGACCCCAGGCCCAGCGGGGCCAGGGATGGGGGGAGGGCCCAGCTCAGTGGCCCGCTGAGCATGTCTGTCCTGGATGCAGTGAGTGGAGTCAAGGGCCACGTGCCTCTGCAGCCTCGCCACTTCGCCTGGTCCATGGGACATGGCATAAGACTGGAGGGAGCAGGGGGAGCCCCCCATCTAGCTGACTTCCTATGAGATGCAATCAGGGCAGGATCCCATGGGGCCAGGGCGCAGGCGTGAAAGTCGCACCCGTCAGACTTCCCAGAGAGCCGCTGGGGTCCCAGGATTCACAGCAGAGACCTTCCTGCCACCTATCCAGGCTCCTCGGGTCTCTCGACTCCCCCTCTGGGGTGGGGGGCACACATTCTTCCCATGAATGCTGCTCCAGGCACATAATGGTGTCAGTCATTGCAAACTTCTGAGGCTGGCATCCAGTTTGCGGCACAATGCACCCACGTGTCCAGGTGCCCAGCCCCCTGCCTGTCACGCACCTTGGCAGCCAGGCTGCAAAGGGGCACCAGCTTCCTCCCCTAGAAACTGCCCAGGAACAGCTTCCTTGGACTCCTGGTCGCTGTTGGCAAAGCAGGCAGCTGCTGAGGCAAAGGCATTGAAGGCGAGTGGAAGTGGGTCCGCACCAGGCCCCATTTCCTTTGTTTCGGGGGTAACTAGGTGTCCTCTGAGGCTTTAGTGCAATCAGCAAGCCACTGCTGATTCCCGCCAGGGCCACAGACACCAGCCATGGCTGGCGCCCCCAGGAGGACGCAGAGGCGCCAGCTCTGAGGCAGGTGGAGAGTTGGGCCTCCCTGAGCCTGGGGATGGCAGGGAGTTGCCACAGAGAAGCTGACAAACCAGCCTCCGGCCCCTCGGCCAGCGGGCAGAGCTGCCCAGTGCTAGCCCACCCAGAAGTTGCCAGGGCTGCACCTGGCAGAGCCAGCCAGAAGCTCTCCTCCCAGCATGCTCGGGGCGCACAAACTGGGTGCAGACCCCACGTCTGCATGGCCAGTGTCTCTCTCTCGCCCCAGCTTCCTCCTCTTTAAAGGTACAGGTACGTTAATGCCAAACCCTGAGAGTTGGTCAATAAAATGTGGCTTCTCGCGTGCCGGCCCGGGGCCAGGCTTGGCGAGCAGGAAGCGAAGGTGCTCTTGTTCCGGGTCACGGTCCCACTGCCTCCTGTGGCAGCACCCGCTGCTGGGTCTGGTGGCACTTCCAAGCTCTTGCAAGTCATGATTGTTCTGGAATCTAGAAAGTCCTACAAATAATAACTGTCTACACCTGTTTGAGGCGAACAAGAATGAGCAGGACAAACACCAGTGAGTAACTTGTTATATATTACAACTGTATTTATATGAAAGTAATGAAAATATCAATTCTCTTTTTAAAAAAGGTTATGCAAACAAGCAGATTCTATGGCATTATTATCAAAGTTTAGAAAACATAGAGACACCCCCGCTTCCCCAGGCCGCACAGGGCAGCTGTTCCCTTCCCCACAGGTAACACACCTGCAGCAGGTAGCACACCTGACAGCGGGCGGCCTGCTCTTCTTTCTGCAGCTACTGATATCCCAGTACTGGGCAGGGCGTCCCCGGCAGGCAGTGGTGACCTGAGTCAACTCTGGCCCTGCTCATTTGCTGTGCTGTCGTGGGGAAGTTAGTTCCTCTCTCTGGGCCTCAGCCATCCAGCCTGGGGAGGGGGCACGTGGGAATGGTTTCACCTGCTGACAACCCAGGGGGCACCTGGGCACAGCTGTCGCCGGTGGGGAAGCCAGCCAGAGGCTTGGCTTCTCAGTGAGAGAAAGCTGGCTGGGTCACCGCGACTTGTAAAGAGTGGCACCAAGCATTTTCCTTCCAGGAAAAAATTTGCATCCAGTTATAAAGCACTTGGGCCCTTCAGTATCCCCAGGAGGAGGGGACGTGTGTCCAGCCTCAGAGCCCCTGTGTGCCAGGCCCCGCTGGCCCAGCCCTGGGTGCGAGTCCAGGGTCCTGGTCCCTGATGGGGGCACCCGTGGGACAGGCTGACAGAGGCCAGCCTCTTCCCAACATGGAGGGCAGCCCCTCAGACTGCTGCTCTGTGTCTCGCGTCCTTGCTCCCTGGTCCCCGGCAGGGCAGGCGCCCCCTTGTGTCCCGAGCTGGAGTGGACACTCAGCCATAGGGCGCGGGGGAGGGGTAGCGGCCTCCTTAGCTGGCTGTGGAAAGCCGTCCACCAGCCTGGGACCTCCCTGTCTCCAGCATGGCCCCCAGCAGGTGTGGCCCTTTCCCTTTCGTGGGGCCTTGGCGGGGGGCATGGTCTGCGCTGAGCAGTCGGGTGCAGGCTCTGCACCCCGAGGCCCTTCATGAGCTTCTGCGGGCCGGGGTCTGCCCGCTGCCTGCCCTCCCTGGGTGTCACCTGCCCCAGCCTGCCTTCACGGGCTGGCGCCTTTCCGCTCCGATGCTCGGCGTCTTCCGCCGCCGCCTGCCATGCCCCACCCGCACGTGGTCTGCACGATCCCTGCGCAGCTCCTCTGGGGTGGGAACTCAGGGCCTTTCGCTACCCCCCTGGGCTTCTGCCTCCTCCCCAGGGCGGAAGGCAGACCGTGGGGACCACCAGCTGCTGCTCGGGGCCCCCCAAAATGGAGGTTGCATATAAAACTATACAGACTGAGCATTTACACAGCACATATACAAGTTCTATACATCATTCCCTCGTCAGAGTCCACATTTGGTATAAATAGACCGACACAGCGCTGTAGAAAGTCCTTTCGCCCCGGGACGTGGCGACAGTGGTTACCCTGATGCAGCTCTCAGGTCCGGAGTCCCGTGGACCCGACACTGCCCGCGTCCGGTGTCCCCGGCGTCCTCGCAGGAGCCCTGGCGACGAGGGCGGGCGCGCGGCTAGGTGGGCGGGGGCCCGTGGTAGCGCAGCATGAGCCGGAAGGAGCGCGCGAACGTGTTGGCCAGGGTGCAGCTGCGGCCCTCGCGCCCGGCGGGCAGCAGGAAGAGCAGCAGCAGCAGCAGCAGCAGCAGCAGCTGCAGAGGCAGCGCCACGCGGCACACCTTCCAGAAGCAGGAGCCGCGTCCCCGCCGCCGCGTCTGCGGAACCCAAGTGGGAGACGTGAGCAGGCGCGGCCCGGCGGGCGGCGCCATGGCCGGCGCGGCGGAGAGGCTGACGCACAGTCTGTTTTCCCATCTTGAAGTGGGGCTCATGCAGTTTGGCCAGAGACAAAGCCCCCGGGGTTTCTGCGAACCATTCAAGGCCTCCAATAAAGTGATGGACTCTGGGCCCTCCCTGGTGGCCCAACAGGTCAGGACGCAGCACTGCAGGCCAGGGGCAGCCGCTTCAGTGCGAGCTCCAGCCCGGCCCCAGGTGACCCACAGGGCGCGGCAGACCTCGCCTGACCCGCCCGCTGCTCCCCTCAGCAGTGTGCTTCGTCCATCTGCCTGTTCTGCTCCCCGCTCTGTCTCTGGTGAACCCTCTCACCGCCCCTGAGCCTCTGGACTGTACCCCAGTTCTGTATGCATCAATAAATAATAAATCTTTTTTAAAAAAGTGATAGACTCTGGCCCTCCCTGGTGGCGCAGAGGGTTAAAGCACAGCACTGAGAAACTAAAGCCACTTCCGCATGAGTTCGATTCCTGCCTGCCCCGGAGGTGACCACATGGCGTGGCAGACCTCTCCTGACCCGCCCGCTGCTCCCCTCAGCAGTGTACTTCATCCATCTGCCTGTTCTGCTTCCCGCTCTGTCTCTGGTGAATCCTCTCACCCTCTGCATCTCTGGGCTGTACCCCAGTTCTGTATGAATAAATAAATAAATCTTTTTTTTTAAAAAAAAGTGATAGACTCTGGCGACAACGCTCTTTGGCTATGAGTTTGGGGGTGGGGCTTGGGGGCCACTGGGGAGGGCACTCAGCTTTTCTGACCTTCCACTCTGCACCCACACAGAGGGCGCCAAGTGGCACCTACCTGCCAGGGCTGCTGTCACTATCACTATGCAACATTCATAGCACATCTTACACGTGTCACCATCCCTGTCACAATTCCAGAGGGACTGTCTGGGTTGTAGCTTCCGAGCAGCAAAGGATGACTGCCCAGGAAAGAGAAGGGGCGGTGGGGTGCTGGGCAGGGGCCCAGCCCGGGGACCAGGCTGATGGGCTCTAACATAGCCTCTGTCACATACTTGCTCTGTGACCCTGGGCGAGTCCAGGGCCTCTCTGAGCCCTCACGCTGCAAAACGGGGATAAAGCACCTGCCCCCTTTGGCAGGGTGTGAGACTCAGAGCAAAGTGTTAGTGTGCGTGTACACACTAATCAACAATACGTCTTACTGTGCCATGAGTGTAGCACACGCCTGCGGGTTTGCTGAAGAAGCAAAGGTTCCTTCTTCCAGCAGCCATGAGCTACAGTCCGGAAGTGAGGACAGTGGCGGGGTGATGGTGGCGATGACAGGGTGGGTGACGGTGAGAGTGGCAGTGGTGACGGGGTTGGGGGTGGCGAGGAGGAAACATTACTAAATGCCGACGTTGCCAGAGGGCCTAGCCTGGCACCTCCGTCTCTCTGCCTCTCAGACCCGAATCACCTCACCCACTCACCTGCCCCAACTACCTCTAGATAAAACATTTGACCCTGTGGTTTCAGCCTCAAATATCCTCACCTGACAGAGTCTTTTGACAGTGACCTTGAGGAAACACACTTCTTATCACCCACAGATGGATAAGCACGCCCGGTCATGCATACTTCAGCAGTGACCTTGGGAGGGTGGTGTGGGGTGAAGAATCCAGCCAGCTTGGAGTGGGGTGTGTCCACACGGCTCCTCCAGCTGCCAGGGTCAGGCCCTGCCGGGCTGTGGTCTCGCCTATCTGCTGGACTCATATCAGGCCGCCTCTATCTGGGGGGGCTCTGACTTCACTCTCTGACCTTTCTTGTTGATGGTGCCTGACTTCAAACCTCTGATCCACCCGGGAAAGGAAAGAAGGCCCCAGGTGTGGGCTTATACCACAATGAAACACCTGTCATTAAGGGTCCCCTCAGGGGGAGGATTTGCTCACAGGTGGCCTCTTTGCGTTCGCCCCATTCTCAGAGCGATGCTCATTTGAGTACCCTCTGCGGAACCGTCTTTGAAGGTCCAAACTGTATCCGCCTTTCCAAGTGCCGACAAGGGTGGGTTCCTTCAAAGGACTCCGCTGCCTGCCCAGCGGCTGTTCACCTGTAGCTCGTGGCCACACCTGAAGGGACTTCAAAGATATTTTTGTGGCCCTCCCTGGTGGCGCAGTGGGTTAGAGCACAGCTCTAAGAAGCTTAAGCCACTTCCGCATGAGTTCGATTCCTGCCTGCCCTGAAGCGACCACATGGCGCGGCAGACCTCTCCTGACCTGCCCGCTGCTCCCCTCAGCAGTGTGCTTCATC